CTTTAATCTTTGGTTATACTTTCCTTTTGGGTGTTTAAGGCCATACAGTTGGCCCAGATAAACCAATTTATTTTTACTCTTAAGGTCGTTTGAGGATCTGTTCCTCAGGGATCACATGGGCTTGGGAGGAGCCCCTGGCTCCTTTCTTTAACCAGTTCCGCCTATGTGGAGATAAGTCAAAGGTCCTACTCGACCATGGCTGGCTTCGCTTAGAAGCATGGAGGAAATGATTCCTCTGTGTTGACCCTCCTCTTTGTAGACTGGACACTGGTTCAATTCCATCTGGTGGGGTCTCCTCGGCCTCCCTGATTGCCTCACTCACCCTCCCATCTCCCCCGCTGGTCTCTCCTCCTAGCCTGGGTTCTGTTCCATTCCTTGTCTTGGTGCCCCAAACACCTGGGGAACCACCACTGCTTCCTGATCCTTTGCACCCAGAGCAACTCAGTTCCTTCTAACAGTCTTTTTAAAAGTAGAATCCTCCTTCTCTTGATTATGGCCTAATGCATTTAAAAAAAATTATTTAGTATTTTTATTTTATGTGTCTGTATTGCCTCATGTATGTAGGTGTACTCAAGTCGTGTAATGGACAAGGGGGTTAAAAGAGGGCATTATGGATTGTTGTTGGCCACCATGTGGGTATGAGGAATTGAACCCAGGTCCTCTGCAAGAGCAGCCAGTGCTCTTAACTGCTGAGCCATCTCTCCAGCTCCTGTATGGGCTTAATTTAGTGATATTAATGATAAATGGAAAAAAGGTAGAAGAGACAGTGTACAGTTTTGGAGACTGGATCATAAAAGGCACTGTGGTTCCCTGCTTGCTCCCTCTCAGACTACTTGCTCTGGTTGAAGTTACCTGACCTCTGTGAGGACATTCATATAGCCTCTGGTGCTGCCCTGTGGCAAGGAACTGACACTGTAGGCCTCACGCCTATGCATGAGCCATCTCAGAAGTGGATCCTTGAAGTCTCCAGATGACCTCAGCCCTGGTTAACTGCTTGACCACAGACTCCTGAAAGCCCATGAAGCAGAGCCACCCAGCTAAACCATTCTGAGTCCTTACCTTCATGTGATGTATTAAATAATAAATGTTGAACTGCTAAATATTGGGAACATTTGTTACACAGAAATAGAAAACTTGAGGTAATAACTTTTACAATACTGACTTTTACAATACTGACAAATGACTTTTGCCTACCCTTGCAACCAGAAAGTTATCTTAGCTTGTTTATGATGTAGAAAAGCTCCCTGAGCCATGTGCTCCTCTTGTGATTTGGGCATATGGCCTTAATCCCTCATGACCCTTCCTTGCCCTGGACTCAGAACAATATATGAATGTATGAGTATTTACATATCAAGTGCTTCAAACAAGTGCTTATTTCATTAAAAGCAATGAAATTGATAACATCTGTTTATGGCTGTGTGTGTGCTATTCTAAGTCAGGAGGGGTCAGAATGGACATAATCCTGTGATTAAATGCTCATTTTTACTTCCCCATTTCATGCTGGATATACTGTTTCAATAAAAGAAAGAGTTCTTATTCAAGAGCCCAGTTCTGAGAGAATTCTGAAGGAATAGGCTGTCGGTGGTTTGGGTCCACTCTTTGTTTAAAATAGATGCTGAGAGTCAGGCTGTCTTTATTTGAGCACTATAGTAATGTGGCATTGCATAGTAAATGTCACAAAAATGAGTATACTCTATTATTATCAGTGTTTTCATTCCCACATTTCACTGATGTCTCTAATATTTTATAGTATACAGTCTTTTTTTATGTGTGTGGTACTAAGAACTGAACCCAGGGCATTACATATGTGAAGCAGGCACTCTTGTCACTGAGCTATAGCCCCAGCCTTACTAGGACAATAGCTCACATATTTTTAAAAAATTATTTAGTATTACTGTGTGTGTGTATGATGTGTGTGGAGGGGTTGTGGGCATGACATGACATGCACGTGGAGGTCAGAGGACAACTCTATAGAGTCAGTTTTCTCTTTCCAACTTTATGTGGGTTCTTTGGCTCCAAATCAAGTTGTCAGGCTTGAATGGCAAGAACTTTATCTACTGAGCCATCTCATAGACCCTGTCATTGTTTTAAAAAATCTGATATTTTTGCTGTATTTGTTTAACAAATATGTTGAGATCTAATTCACATACTATAAAATTGGCAAATTTAAAAAATTTGCCAGTACATAAAACTTGCCTTTTCACCACCTTAAAGTGTACAATTCAGAGCACTGGGCACCTTCACAGTGTTCGACTACCATCACCGCGAAGCTCCTGAACTTTTTCATCATTCCAAGAAGCTCCATGTCTACGGCTGATCTGTTTTTTAAAAGACTGATTTTATTTTGCTCCTCAAACTGGAACAATCATGTGATAACAAAGTAATGAGTTGACAATTTAATAAACAAAACATTCTTTAAATGTGAACAAATTTGGAAAGAAGTGACATTAATACTTCTAACGACAAGCTAGGAATCTTTTTTTTTTTTTTGTACAAAACATGGAAATCTAAGATATATTGAGATATATTCCATTTTATTTGTTTTATCAAACAAAATCTCAAGTCATTTTTTAAAAAATTACTTTTTGAAAGTCTTCTTAAACCCATCAAATACTTAACATCCCAAATATACACCATAGTCAAGGAGCTAGAACTGGGGGCAGCTGTTTGGAGTATAATAGGCAAAAATCAAATAGGTGCCATGAATAGTGACCTTCATTCTCAGAACATTCATGGCTGTCTACAGCTGTGGATTAGAAGGATGAGGAAGAACATCCAGGCTCAGTTAGTTCAGACTCTCTGTCACAGGCTATGGAGTAAGAGGTGGTCTTCTAGCCAGCTCTTTGCCAGAACAGCTGGGTAAAGGTTGGTAATAGATGTCATTAGTTTTAGCACCATTTTCTTATAAGTCTTATTATAATATTATACAGAACAGTAGTGACCAGGAAATATTGCTGCTGAATTGAAATATACAGTCAGGGCCTATGTCACATTATTTGATGGCTTTATTTCTAGTGATTAATGAAGAATGGAAATGAAGCTTGTGCAAAATAATATATCTGGGAAGCAGAATTCCCTTTCAATCCACCCAGAGAGGACATCAGAGCCCTGCCATGGCAGGTCCAATGACTACCCAGATAGGCAGATTATACTCCTACCAGAGTAGTAGGAGCAGCTCAAGGACAGGGCAGCAAGGGTTGGAGGATGTTTATATTACCCTCATATTCACTAGACTGGCATCTGTCATGGTATGAGTCTTTCTCATTGACTCTTCATTCCTTCATTAAAAAAATGTACTGGGTGTCTTCTATGTCCCAGGTGCTATTATGACACTGATGATAAGCTGTGAACAAAGTAGTGGTGCTAACAGAAGAGCAAAACTTTACACTCATCTGAGTTTGATGCTCTTTCAGCTCATCTGAACTGACACATATCAGGAAGATAGAAGTGGGCCTGAGAAAGGGTTGAAGGTCCAATTGTGTATTCTCATTCTTCAACCTTAGAACCCCAATACTAGAAGTAAAACAGAGAATGAGGGGAATATGTTTGGGATCCCCTCTGCTTTACGAAGGCCAACATATGAGACACTGTCCACTTCCTTTCCTCAAGCCACCCCTTCCATCAGCTCAGAATGAAGAGGAACTTTCCCAGCATTTCTCCTCACTGCCTGGGAAAGCAGTACAACTCACAGTACATTAGGAGACACAGCCACAGTCATGACAATAAATTCCATGCAACTTGGGAGACACCTCTCTGACAGACACAGACCCACAACTCCCATGAGCATGGTCACAGAATGACCAGGCACTTTCTCTGGGCAGGGCTTAGGACTACCCAAAAGCTCAGGATGCTTGGGGCGGATGGGAACATGGTCTTCTCAGGCATAGGACATTGAAGTCCAAAGGAATGACAGGAATAGAGCCACAGGGGGCCCGGGAGTGGCAGAAGTCTAGAGGAAATGGGCAATGGCTGGTGCGGGGGAAGGGAAAGTCTAAGATAAAAACACATTTCGTTATTGTGGAAACTAAAAGCAAGGTACAGGCATCCAACCATGCTGACTTCAATGCAATAAGACTTAGGCTCCGAGATGAGTGAGTGAGATGTGAGCCAAGGGGTCATGGGCATGGAATCCTGGACACTACATAGCAACTGTCTTCTTGACTTTGTTACAAGAATTGTAACTCTTGTCATTAAAACTAGTTATTGCCAGAGGGAATTCTAATGAATGACTCGTAATCAAAAAGAGCCAGCTGCTCCGTCTCTAGGACTCAGGAAGAACTTCCTGCATTGTTCCCAACTGCCTGCCACACAGCTTAGGAAGTGGGATGAACTAGCCACCCTGGCTTCCAGACACAGCTCCAGCCAACAGCAGGAACCGTCCAGCTTTTACTGGCTTTTGAAATGTACTGTGGGTTGAAACTGGACTCCTTTGTGTGGTTATGGAGAATAGGAGCCAGGTGAGCACAGGGAGGAGAGTGAAGAAGAGAAGCCAGCAGAGTTGGGGCCTGAGGCCCAGCTTGCACAGAAATGTGCTCCAGCTTCCCCAGAGCCCTACATCCAGGGGCTCCACACACCAGTACTTTTAGGATCGCAGCGGGGGTCCTGAGGAGGGAAGTACGCGGGCACAGAGTGATTGTGGTAGTCTTGCAGGCGGGAAAGGAGTTTCTTGACAATTTGGGGATGCTTTCTGGACAGGTCGTGTCTTTCTTCCGGGTCCTGATCGATGTCAAACAGCCAGAGAGTCTTGGTTGGGGGGTCTGATGAAGGTATCTCAGAAATGTTGGAATGAGATGGAGGTGGGAACCAGTAATCACAGCCTGACAAAGAAGCAAAACTTGATTAGGGGAGAAGCATCATTGGCAAGATCTAATCTCAGGGAATACAGGGATGAGGCCATACTGGTTTATGGGTGTGGTCTTCTGCAAGAACAGCCAGTGTTCTTAACTGCTGAGCCATCTCTCCAGCCCAATAAATATTTTTAAAAAATCGGGGGTGGGTCAGGACCTGGAGATGAAACATTCCTCTTCATTATCCCCTCACTCAGCAGCCCCAGTGATAACACTTTGTAGGAGGCAATCATCATTTGGTGAACCTTTCCTTGACGTTCTTTCTGGTGGCAAAGTCTACTTGGGCCATGACCATAACAGAAGTTGTGTAATAATCAAGACCAGACTGGATTTTAAAAGTAGAACAAGAAAATCTTCAAGAGATAGTTATCTATGACACGCTGGGATCATAAAAGATTTGAAGGACTATTTAATATTTCAGATGTTAAAAAGGGAGGGGAATGGCTGGGAGCCTTGAGAAAGCGAGGAGAAGCAGTTAGAACTAGTGATAAGGACCTCCCTCTCTAGAGAAATGGCCAAGGGAATGAAGCTCCAAGAGGATGGATAGATTGGGGGCATAGCTCTGCCCTGTCTGCTGCAGGAAGGAAGCTAAGTATTTTACCTGGGTGGCCTGTGAGGAGTTTCCAATTTCTGTGTCTAATTGCAGCATGGATAGATGTGTTAAAGACAGAATATTCTAGAGAAGAGTCATCCTTTGCTGGAGTCCCACTTTTGCCAGGACCTGGGAAGAAATAGTTTGGAAGAGTTCGATTGCTGTTATTGGCCCGTGTCGTTATAAATCAACATTTTATATTCTTGCAGAACAGTAGCTTTTATTCAACACTAGAGTGCAAATGTGTGCCCTGCCACAGAAATGAATCTTTTATTAAATATAAACAGAAAGCTATAGTTACAGTAGCTGTCAGTCATAAACCACCACAAATATAAAGGAAATCCCAAGGAGATTAGAACACTAATTCATCCTTAAAATCACTGCATTCCGCCAACACACAGATGGCCATGTGCATGGCAGTGTCTGTTACATAGCACATTGAGCTGGGTGTTTGGGTTTGTGTGTGTGTGTGTGTGTGTGTGTGTGTGTGTGTGTGTGTGTGTTTGTATTCTTTCTATTACATGTATAAATTAAACACACTTTCTGTGAATACTTGTACCTTTGTAGATAGAATATTAGATTATAAAATGCACATTTTAATGAAGTCTATTTCAAGCTAGGAGAGGTTAAACATGTCATGAGAAACTGTAGATATATTTATTTTTAAACCACCCATGAAAGTTAAAAGTGAGCAATACTCAGTTAACTATTCAACAGAATAACTATGGGTATAAGAACACACAGGGGGTGGGGAGCTGGAGAGATGGCTCAGTGGTTAAGAACACTGAATGTTCTTGCAGAAGACCTGGGTTCAAGTCCCAGCACCCACATGGTAGTTAACAGCGGTCTGTAACTCCAGTTCCAGGGGATCTGACGGCCTCTTCTGTCCTCTTCAGGCATCTCATGCATGTGGTACACTTGTATACATATAGGCAAAACGTATGCATAAAATAAAAATAAATGAAATTTTAAAATGTTTTTGAGAATTAATTTACATATCAAAAATTCTCTGTCAGAAGCTGGGGTATAGTTCAGTGGTAGAGCGTGTTAGCTTAGCTTGTATAAGGTCCTGGGTTCCAGCCTTGGCACTAAATAATTTCTTTTTCATTTTTTGAGACAGGGTCTCACTACGTTAAAAAAAATTTGAAAAACACACTGGGTATATAAATTATTAGCTGGTATCAAAGATTATATTAACTTATTTAAGGTCTTACAGTAATCAATTAAGTACTTGAGGGGAACAGTTACTACTACCTGTCCCTTAAGTTTAGAACCAATTAAGAGGCAGAGGCCAGAAAGATGGACCTAAAATATTGCTTTTACACTGATCAAATTACCTTCTAGAGAACACAGCTTCAGACCTATGGGGGTGAGAATTGCTAATAAGTGACTCTTGACTTAGCCACCATCACCAATCTTACTGGGCAGCCAGAGGGCTTCCCTAGAGCATACAGTGAAGACCGTTTACATATACATCCAGCGTACATGCTGGCTCTAAACCCACCAAACAGGCTAGACTGGGCACACTTAGTTCCTTCTTGGCTAACTCTCACCCTCACCTGCTGTGGGGAGGAATGCACTGAGTTGAGGATGCTGGTTAGACCCATGAGGACAAGGAATGGAGGTCTCTACCCCACAACTATGAGTGCATATTTAAAAGCTTCAACTTCAGACCTTGCTGGATAATATTTAGCCTCTTTTAAGTTTATAAATATGGCAACTGTCTTGGAAGTGCTCCAAAATGTTTCTGAACTACTAGGCCAGGAAGTAATTCCACAGTGTGTGGTGTACCTATGAGAGTGAAGACTTAAAAACAAAACAGCTGAGCTAAATTAAACAATTAAACAGAGCCAGGGTATAGCTTAGAGGTAGAGTACTTGCCTAGCACATAAAAGGCTGTAGGTTTGAGCCCCAGCATTGACAGAACAAAACTAAAACAACAAAATGTGTACATTCCCCCGAGGTTGTGAAAGGCAAGAGGACCTCTTGAGCCCAAGAGTTCAAGACCAACTTGAACAAACAACAGTAAAGTAACAGATTTTGTGACTGTTGTGTCATGCATGCCCTCCATCCCTGCAGAGCTTCAAGGTTCCCAGGTTTAACATAGGTTCAATAGAAAGTATGAGTTCCATTGCTTGTCAGTCTTTTGAACTGACTCTGGAGATTCCTGAATGCTGATCCAATAAACATCATTGGTTTCAGTCTGAATAACCATACACCAATAAATCATTAGCATCCACAAGGAAAACCTTTTTGGACACTTGCTTCTTTGCTTGTGGATATTTTGGCTCTTACACATATGGATGCTTCTAGCGATGGAGATACGTGAGGGTGTATATCATAAGAAGTGGGTTCTTGATACACAGACTGTGCTAAAACTGTGAATCCCCTTGTCTTACCCCTCATAAGTTTGTACAAAGTCCACATTTCAATACCAAACATTTCAGATGTTAAATAAAACAAGCAAGCTTTGTGAACATAAACAAAGGAAGCAGCTATCTCAGTCTGCTTATATTTATATACATTTTTTCTTAAAACAAACAGGAACAAAAAATACCTAAACAACAAGTCTAAGACTAAACAGTGAATGATACTATTATTTCAACTTTGTTTTTTCTCATTCTGAGGACTTAAACAAAGAGGAAATGGCAGAGAACGCCATAACTAACACCCCGGGAGCCGTCACCCATGGAACAGATGGCAACATCTTGCCATATTTGCTTTTCCAAAGATTTTTAAATTACATTTTATATAAATATATATATATATATATAACTGTCAGATTCACATTTAAAAATTTTTTCTTTCTCTATATATATATATATATATATATATAGTGTGTGCCCGTGCTTCCATGCCACTGTGGTGTGTATAGATCAGAGCATAGCTTGACTTGGAACATTTGGTTGTTTACTTCTACCTTGTAGGTTTCGGGGATCAAACTCAGGTCTTTAGGCATGGTGGCAAGCATCTTAGGCCCAGGGTTTAATATATATGTTCATGACAGGTTTACTTCTTTGCCAACCTGGGTGTCTTTCTTTTCTTTTCTTTTTTTTTTCATGTCTTTGCTTAATTGTCCTCATTAGAATCTCTAATTAAATGCTGATACAGATTGTAAGAGCAAAATACAATCCTTGTATGTTCCTGATCTAAAATGGTAACTGTAGGGTCTTCAAAATAGATGTCCTTTAAGGCACTTTCTACTGCTATTTTGAGAGCTTTTATCAATGAAGGAGTGTTAAGTTTTGCCCAAAGGCTTTTCTGCATCTATTGAGACTGTCGTATTTTTTTGTCCTTTGATCTACTGATGTGGCATCTTACATTAATTGATTTTCAGTTGTTAAGCCTATCTTTTATTTCAGGGATAAACCCCCACATGGTCATACTATATAATCTTCTTTATATATTTCTGGATTCCATCTGTTAGCATGTTGTTGAAGAGTTTTGTTTATATTCATAAGATATGCTGAATTCTTAAATTGGTGTTTTAATTGTAAGTTGACAGTATATGAGGGCAGACTGTTGAGATGAAAAACAGGAGGCACAGATTTCTTTGAATGACAAACTCCAAAGACTTCTCTGTCAGAGCTGATGTTAATGAGGATGCAGGAAAGAGCAGTGTGACTGAAGTAAGTCCCAAGGGCCCCTTCTCCCACAAAGTCATGGTGATACACATGCCCCACAGCACGCAGTAGGCACCTTTGTGACCAAACTGCTCGGGCTCAAATATCAGCTCCTCCATTCACTAAGTGTGGGATCTCGTTGTTAACAGACATGCCTAGCCCTCAGTTTCCTCATTTGAAAAGTGCAGGAACACAGGATTGTTATGTGGTTTGCATGATGGCACCACTGAAAATGCTCAGTACTCATTCCAGCATGTGGGAAATGTACAAGAAATGTGATTGCTAATTGTATAATCTTGGGCAACTTATTGAATTCCCTGTGCCTCGGTTTACTATCTATTCTATTAAACTTATTTAACAAGTGACATAAGACATATACAGTGCTTAGCATAGTATTTTGTATACTGTAAGACTATTATCAATATTAAAGGCAGTAACAGTTGACACAAGTACTTCCCATGTGCTTGGGAGCATAAAACACTGCTCTGTATTGTTAACCTGCTTAATTCCTGCAGCTGCTCGATGAAGCAGATCATAATATCTGGCAAGGACTATCAGGGAACACTGACTATTATCAGTATAATATAGTTTCTTTTCTTTATTAAAAATGTATTAATTTTATTTTATGTATAGGAGTATATGGCTTGCACATATGTAAGTGCACCGGTGTCATGCAATGTCCACAGAGGTCAGAAGAGGGCATCAGATCCACAGGAACTAGAGTTATGGATGGTTGTTAGCTGCCATATGGGCGCTGGGAACCGAACCTGGGTCCTCTGCAAGAGCAGCAGCCAGTACTCTTAATTGCCGAGCCATATCTTCAGCCCCTTTTCTTTTATATCCTTTTATATCCAAGGAAAAATAGGAAAAGAGGAATAAAGGAGAAAAGTAGTCAAAAGTGTTTATTATACCAGAAAAACAAACCAACAATAAAGTAAAACCCACTCCTCTGAGAGAGGAAACCTGTAATTGTTCTATCAGGCATGTTCCAGAGTCAGAATAGGGTTGAGGAAAAATAGATATGGATAGAAACTGATTTGCCATTTTGAGGGTTTAGTTTCTTTTCTGTCTTGTTTGGACTGAGCTCTCTTTATTTTTATAATTTACAGAGAGTAGTTTAAAATTTCATTCTCTTCCCACTAATTCACTGGCTTTTTCTGCTTGCCATCTTTACTCTTAAGGGTGTATGCATATTTACTAACAGGAAAAATTTATTCCTGGGTACATGGGAGAAACCCCAGCTTTTCCAGAAACTTGGTTGTCAGTATGTTTTCTAACATGGAATCAATCCTCCTGCTAGGTATATTTTCCAAGAATAGGACAGATTTAGGTTAACTAGCCAAAACTACCTCCATCTTTTACAAGTCTAAATTTAAAAAGATTTTTTTAAAATTTGTTTTTAACAGTAAGCTGCTTACTTGTGTGAGTCAAGTCTCTTAAAATTTACATTGAAGTTTAACTTATGCTAAATATTAAACCGGCTGATCATTTCTTCTTAGTTAAACT